TCACTTGAGTGAGCCCAGGAGTTGGAGGTGCAGTGAGCTAGGCTGACACGACTGCACTCCAGCCTGGGTGACAGAGTGAGACTCTGTCTCAAAAAGGAAATTGAATCTGACTACCCGCCATCATAATAAAAAAAAAAAAAAAAAAAAGGCCGGGCGTGGGGCACGCCTGTAATCCTAGCACTTTGGGAGGCCGAGCGGGCGGATTGCTCAAGGTCAGGAGTTCGAAACCAGCCTGAGCGAGACCCGTCTCTACCAAAAATAGAAATAAATTAATTGACCAACTAAAAATATATATACAAAAAAATTAGCCGGGCATGGTGCGCATGCCTGTAGTCCCAGCTACTCGGGAGGCTGAGGCAGGAGGATCGCTGAGCCCCCGGAGATTGAGGTTGCTGTGAGCCAGGCTGGACGCCACGGCACTCACTCTAGCCTGGGCAACAAAGTGGAGACTCTGTCTCAAAAAAAAAAAAAAAAAAAAAAGAGGGACCCCGAGCTCTCCGACACGGACTCCGGCTGCTGCCTGGCCCAGAGCGAGTCGGACAAGTCCTCGACCCACGGCGAGTCGGACGGCAGAGCGGGCCTGGCGGAGGAGCCCATGTGGGTGGAGACTGAGCTGGGTCTGTACAAGGTGAGGCTCTGGCTCCAACATCGTCCTGCCTGGTGGTCTCCACGCTCAGGGCCCACGGGGAGCACACCTCCATCGTTGCTGGTCCCCACTGTGCCACTCGGACCTTGTGGCGGGCAGCTAGCCCCGTCCCTGGCTCTGGCTGGGCCGCCTCTGCCCCGCAGAGCAGATGATCAGGGGGTGGGTTCCCGCATGTTCTGGCAGGGAACAGAGAGTTCTCCGGGATTCCTTCGTGACCCTCCAGAGTGAGTCCTCTGTTGGGGCCTGCAGGTGTCCTCTCTGTGGCCCTTACAGTGACTATGGAATTTCCGAATTCTAAGATCAGGAGGTGGGCCATGCAGGGTGGCTCACACCTGTAGTCCCAGCACTTTGGGAGGCCGAGACGGAAGTATCGGTTGAGGCCAGGAGTTGGAGGCTGCAGCGAGCTGTGATCGTGCCACTGCACTCCAGCCTGTGTGACAGAGAGAGAACTCTGTCTCTTAAAAGAAAAAGAAATTTCACAGAAAGATCTAGATTTCCAACTTTTTTGACAAACGTGCAGCTGTGGTCTCCCTGGGCCACATGGCAGCTGTGGCTGGGGCGCAGCAGCGGGCCTCCTGTTGGGGTAACCCTGCACCCTCCGCTCCCCACTTCCTCGTCTGGGCACTTCTGCCCTTCAGGGGACAGGGTGCTGCGTGGGGACGACTGCAGCAGTCATGACGTTGCGGGGCTCCTGGCATGGGGGGTGGAGGCCAGGGACGCTGCTCAGCACCTGCAGGTCCAGGATGGCCCTCCAGGGAACGATCCAGCCCGGGTGCCACTAGTGCTGCAGCTGCTAAGTCCCGTTTTGGTGTCTGAGTTCTCGTCCCAGTTCCGAAGCACCCCGCGCGCTCGGAACCGAGGCCGGCCCTAGCTGCCGTCCCTTACCCGGGTCGGCGTGAGAACTTCCTTGTTCCTCGCAGGTCAACGAGTACGTGGATGCTCGGGACGCGAACATGGGGGCGTGGTTTGAGGCGCAGGTGGTCAGGGTGACACAGAGGGCCCGTTCCCGGGACGAGCCCTGCTGTTCTACCTCGGCGCTGGAGGATGACATCGTTTATCACGTGAAATACGACGAGTGAGTGTGGAGGCTGGTGGGCAGGCGGGTCTGCGGGGCTTGGGCTATTCGGGGCCATGTGTCTTCAAGCTGGACCTTGGAACTGTCTTGGGATGCTGATTAGGATCTGGGGGACCCCTCTCCTTGTGTTCCCAACGACACACGAGGCCACCTATTTGGGGACCAGCCAGTCTGTCCCCTCCTCGAGTCGTTTTGGAGATCTCAGCTCAGCCAAATTGCTGCGCTCCCCGCTCCAGTTTTATTTCATTCTTGCCGCTTGTTTGCACGTGGAACCATCTTTCCAGTCTGTTTCTCTTCCCTGCCTGGAACGTAAAGCTCCGTGTCCTGTGCGTGTGTTTATTGGGCGCTTACTGTGTGCCCGGCCCTGTGCTGAGGACAGGGATACATGCTGGTGAACACAGGTGTGGCTTCTGTTCAGACTGACAAGACACGACAGACTGCGTGGCTCAAACAACAGACACTGACTTTCCCACAGTCTAGAGGCTGAAATCCAAGGGCAAGGGATGTGGTCAGGTAGGGTTATGGGGAGGGCTTTCTTCTTGGCTTGCAGATGGCTGCCTTCTCTGTGTCCCTTGTCTGCTCTAGCGATCTCTTCCTCCTGTGGGGACACCGGTCCTATCTTGTTAGAGTCTCACCCTTGTGACATTATTTAACCTTCATCACCTCCCTCAGTGTCCTGTCTCCGATATAGTCGCATCGTGGGTTAGGGCTTCAACATATGAATTTCGAGGGGGACACGATTCGGTCCATGACAGAAGGCAAAGCCTGCCGGCCACACATTGCAGGGGGCACAGGGGTTTCCTCTGGATCTGTGCCGGGTCCCTTCTGCCGAACAGTTTTTGGCACATGCTAAGCTTAGCTCTGTAACAATTGGAGCAACTGGATTGTGTGAGTTACAGACAGAAGATTTCACATCCTCTTGGTTGAGGGTCTCAAACTGCAGCCCTAGGGCCAAAGGTGGCCCTCTGTGTTTGTAAATAAAGTTTTATTGAAACACATCAGCGCCCATCAGTTCCCTGCAATGTCTGTGGTTGTCATCCTTTGGCAGGGTCAAGCAGTTGTGACAGAACTTCCAGCTCACAAAGCCAAAAATACTTACCATCTGGTGCTTTGTAGAAAAGTTTGACCCCTGTTCTTAGTGGTTTATGAGAGAAAGTAATGAGTCCCACCCAGGCAGTAGAGCTACCAGAATAGATTTGGGGTTTGCCCTCTCACTTCAGACTAACTTTGTAGCTGACAGTAGCACTAGAACATTCTGTCTTGTGCCTTGTGGCTACTGGCATATTCCTGTATATATAGAATAATGACTTTCCATTATATTCTAATAACTGATGTGTTATACATGCATAAAATAACGTATGTTCCACTACAAAAGTTACTTTCAAGACTCATGTTCAAAAAGTTTATTTTGTTTTTCCTCCTGAATTTTGCTTCCCCAGTTCCTAGGGCTGCCATAACCAAGTGCCACAAGCTGAGTGGCTTATAATGACAGGAACTGAGTGAACAGAGAGTGCCCTCTCTCACTCAGTTCTGGAGGCTGGAAGTCCGAGGTCGAGGTGTGGGCAGGGCCAGGCTCTAGGGGAGGGTCCTCCTTTGCCTCTCCCAGCTTTGGGTGGCAGCCGGCAAGCCGTGGTGTTCCCGACATTGTAGCTGTGTCGCTCTGACCTGCCTTCGTCGTCCTGTTACATTCTTCCTTGTGTGTCTCTGTCTCCTAAAGATGCCAGTCCTGTGGATCAGGGCCCACAATACTGTAGTGTGACCACACCCTAACACGGTCGCATCTGCTAAGATCCTGTCTCTATAAAAAGGTCCCATTCACAGGTAACAGGGGTTAGGACTTCAGGATCTTTACCTGTAACACCTCTAGCTGCAGTGTTACATACGTGTTTCCAGCACCAGCACGTAAGGCCCCCTGGGGAGGGGCTCTGCACACACCAGGGCATGTGGCCGCCTTGGCTTCTGTCCCCCGCCGAGGGGATGAGTAGCCTGGCGTGGGCTGTAGCGACGGGCTCTCTCCCCAGCTACCCGGAGAACGGCGTGGTGCAGATGGGCTCCGGGGACGTCCGCGCCCGCGCACGCACCATCATCAAGTGGCCTGACCTAGAGGTGGGCCAGCTGGTCATGCTCAACTACAACACCGACAACCCCAAGGAGCGGGGCTTCTGGTACGACGCGGAGATCACCAGGAAGCGTGAGACCAGGACGGCGCGGGAGCTGTATGCCAACGTCGTGCTGGGGTGAGCAGCGCCGCCCTCCTTCCCCCGGGGCCTCTGGGGCCCGCCTGGCCCTGGCCTGGCCTCGCCTCCGAACTCGGGGAACAGGTGACACGTTTAGAGGGAGGTTGGAATTCGGAAGGTGTCCTAGACCACACGGTGAACGTCCGTCCTCCTGTACCTGGGTCACCTGCGCCCCTTCTGGAGACGGCACTGTCACCAGGGCCTGCCAAGGGTGTTCCGCCTCGGAGAGCTGCAGTCCCCAGGCCAGATCTGGCCCTCTGCCTGCTGGGACAGTTTATTGGGACACACATGCCTAGTACTAGCTGCTTCTGTGCCCCCAGGGCAGAATCGAGTCGCTGCGAGTCTCTGCCGGAAATGCTCGCGGTCTGGCCCTCGGCAGGGCCCTGTCCTGCCTCTCCTTTCATTTCATTACTTTTTGTGGTGAATATATGCAGTGGAGGATTGACTGTTTTGGCCGCTTTTAAGCGCACAGCTCCACAGCATCAAGTGCTCTCCTGCTGCTTTGCGGCCGTCACCACCCGCCACCTCCAGAACATTCTGGTTTTCCCAAACTGACGATCCGTCCCATGAAGCACCCACTCCCCAGCCTCTGGCACCCACCACCCTGCTTCCTGTCTCTGTGGATCTGACGATCCCAGGGACCTCCTGGGAGTGGGGTCATAGGGGACGTGTCCTTCTGTGTGTGGCATCTCTCACTGAGCACGATGTGCTCAAGGCCCCTCTACGCTGTGGCCTGTGTCAGAGCCTCGTCCCTTTTTAAGGCTGAATCATATTCTGTTGTATGTGTTGCATGTATACGTGAATATCTGGGGAACGGTGTCGCCAGCTGATTTACAGGAAGTGCAAAGGCCCTGGGGCAGGGCCGTTCTGGTGCATCTGTGGGAGCCCAGTGGGCTGGAGGGAAGGGCAGGAGGGAGCATGGAAGCTGTCCTGAGTGGGGTGTGCAGGGCATGGCTAGGACACTGTATGGAATAGTTGTTTATTGTCTAGTAGGGCAGTTTTGAGCCCAGGAGTGACACATTTGGAGCTATGATTGAGGGTGGCCTTGGCTGCCCGGCAGGGAGTGGACCGCAGGGGCAGTGTGGCAGCTGTGAGGCAGGGGAGGCTGCCGTGGTCCCTGGGGTCATGGTCTTGGAGCTCGTGTCCTGTTGCAGTGATGTCCCCAATGCCCTCCAGGGTGGCAGAGGCCTTGCCTGGTCCCTAACCGTGTTGATGCAAGACCCTTGGAGGCTTGGATGCCTCGTGCAGGGACTGGCCCGTCCCTCCATGCATGGCTGAGAGGCCAGTGCTGCGTCAGGGCCCCAGCTGGCTAGCGCAGGTGGCCGAGCACTTGCTGTCTGAGTTTGTGTCATCGGCCACAGCGCGCCTGTGCAGGAGAGTTCCCAAGCGGGGTGGCTAACCTCTGCGCAGGGTCCAATTGTAAATATTTTGTCTTTGCGGGCCAGAGGGGCTCTGTGGTTACCACCCTGCGGACCATGAATGGGCGTGGCTGTGTGCCAATAAAACTTTATTGATTGAAAACAGTTGGCACCATTTGTAGGCCCCTAGGCTAAGTATTCTGAGTACTTAGCACCCTGATGAACTGCGTTTAGCCGTGTTGCCTAGAGTTCAGAAAGCCTTGTGGGTTTGAGTGTGTGTGTATGTGCATAGCTTGGATGTAAAAGTAGGTTTTTGAGCCACTGCGTTACTGTGAGAAATCGCTCTGTGGAAAGTGCCACTGAATAAGGGAGCCGGGCCGAGTGGCATGACCAAGGCGATGTCACTAACCTTCCTCTCTGGAAGAGGGTCCTTTCCCATTTCCCTTGGAGGCCAAAAAACACGAGGGCGATGAAATACTCTAGAATTGATCGTGGTGATGGCTGCGCAGCACTGAACATACTAGAAACACCGAATTCTGTGCTCTGACTGGGTGAATCGTTTGTACATTACCTGTCCACAAAGCTGTGTTTTTTTTTTTTTTTTTAAAACAAAAACAATACAAAATTAAAAGAAATCCCAAGCCTTCCTTGGGATCTTGCTTCGACATGTTTAGTGTGCAAACTAACTGGAAGGTAGGAAGGAGGCCGGCCCTTCCTCTTGTCTTCGGTGGTGTCACCTCTGCGGCGTGTTCTGTGACAGGATTTTGAAAACGGTCTGTGCTCGGCGATCAGAACAGCCCAGGAAAGGCTCTCCTGCTTACAAAAGACCAGTCGAGGCCGAGCACTTCCGAGCGTCCCCTTTCAGACCCCTTTCGTGCAAGCCAGGGCACGACAACCTGCTCAGCGGCCTTGGGCCTCCGGCGGGGTCGACGCCGACGTTCCCTGGGCTGAGCACGAGGAGGGCGGGGCTGGGCCGGGTTAGAAGGCAGAGGCTCCGTTTGCGCTTGCGCCACTGCCGAGAGACTTGGGGTAAACCGCTGTCCCGCTCTGGGCCTCACATTCCCGATGGTACGACCAGAGGCTGGCCAGGACCCAGTGTCCTACGTGCACACGCTCCCTGGCATCAGGGACGGACGTGACGGGGCTCTTGTGGCAGCAGCTGCCACTGCTTTTGGCTCGTTGGTGCCAGGGACTCTCAGCCTGAGATGGCTGGGCCTTCGATTTTCTGGGAAACCCTGGGCACAGGGCCCAGCACCTGGTTACCTCGTGACAACCTCCCTGAGGTCCTCGGGTGCGCAGAGGGCAGCTGCCCCCACGCTGGCAAGGGCCGAGGGTCTGGCGCAGGCTATCTGGCTCTGGTGTCCACGCCCTTCCCACTGTGCCTCGTGCGCCCCCAGAGGGCTCAGGACACACAGGAGAATGAATAGAACTGCCCAGAAAGCCCCAGGTGCAAGCTCGCGGAGCACCTGGGTTTCCTCCTCCTTGTGACAGTTGGTACATGTGTATTCGGACAGCACTTTGCCTCCTGGCAGGGGAAACAAAGGGCAGGTGGCAGGAAGGAGAGCTGCTTCTCACAGCCGTTGTCACCCTCTCTCTCTGCACCCCCGGAACCTTTTTTTTTGGAGTCGGAGTTTTACTTTGTTGCTCAGGCTGGAGTGCAGTGTCATCATCATAGCTCACTGCAGCCTCCAACTCCTGGGCTGAAGCGATCCTCCTGCCTCAGCCTCTGGATTACCTGGGACTACAGGCATGCGCCACCAAGCCCGGCTCATTTTTCTATTTTTAGTAGAGACAGGTTCTCGTTCTTGCTCAGGCTGATCTCAAGCTCCTGAGCTCAAGTGATCCTCATGCCTCAGCCTCCCAGAGTCCTGGGATTAGAGGCTTGAGCCACTGCGTCCAGCCTGAAATTCTGGCTTTTTTGTTGTTTTCCTTTTGTGTCTGATACTAGCAGGATTTTAACCCACAAGGGGAATAGCTGAGCCCCTGCACGAGGCCCTGCAAAGCCTCCCGTCTGACATAACTAGAACCACCGGTGTTCACGCGCTTCGAGAGTGACTTTAAGGGGCAGGGTCCTCTCTGAGGTTCCTCAGTGGGATTGGGCAGCCAGAATGTTCTAACCCGCTTGTTTCTCCCAGGGATGGTTCTCTCGATAACTGTCGCATCTTCTTCGTGGATGAAGTCTTCAAGATCGAGTTCCCAGGCGAGGGGAGCCCCATGGTCGAGAACCCGACGAGACGTGAGTTCTGAGCCTGCCCCCCCTGTCTCCCATGGCGGGCGCGGGGCTCCCCGTCCGTTCCCGGCCTGGCCGGCCCGCCACCGCTGACCCGCCCCCCGTGCGCAGGGAAGAGCGGGCCCTCCTGCAAGCACTGCAAGGACGACATGAGCAAGCTGTGCCGCGTCTGTGCCTGCCGCGTGTGCGGGGGCCGGCAGGACCCCGACAAGCAGCTCATGTGTGACGAGTGTGACATGGCCTTCCACATCTACTGCCTCTGCCCGCCCCTCAGCAGCGTCCCCCCTGAGGAAGAGTGGTGAGTGGGCTGTGCCGCCGCTGGGGCGGGGTGCGCTATGGGCACGTGGCCTGCGTGCGCCCCGCCTCCGGGCCCCGAGCCCTTGGTGCCCTCAAGGATAACCTCGGACAGGCACAGGAAGGTCGTGACACGCTGGGGTCTGGTCTGAGCACCCTGTGTGTTAGCAGGGGTATTTTCCCCACGGCTCGGGGTAGAAGCTGTCCTTGCGCCACCACTACAACTCATGGAGATGGGGAAACTGAGTCACGATGGGGCAGGGTACCCGTGAAGTTGCCCATCTCTTTCCTGTGCCATAGTGGCGTTGGCTGTCCCTGCAGGGGACAGCTTGGAATTCTAAGTGGAAGAAGAACAAGAGCGAACCCACTGTCCCGTAGAATATTTCGCGACGGTGGGAACATTCTAGTTCTGTGCTGTCCAATCTGGTGGTTACACACTGCCCACGGCTGCTGAGCCCTTCCACTCACGAGGGAGGGGTGAATTTCCAACCTTATTTCACTTGGATGGATCGAAAAGGCACTAAATGGCCCTGTGTGCCCAGTGGCCCGGTTTGGGACAGCCCAGGATGACAGTAGTGCCGAGAGGGGACAGGTGTGGCTCGTGTCAGCCAAGACGGCCGTCTGCCGGGGCTACGGGCGGGCCTGACGAGCTGTCCCCACAGGTACTGCCCCGAGTGCCGAAACGACGCCAGCGAGGTGGTGCTGGCCGGCGAGAAGCTGCGGGAGAGCAAGAAGAAGGCCAAGATGGCGTCGGCCACGTCGTCCTCGCAGCGCGACTGGGGCAAGGTGAGGTGTGGCCCCTCCCGCGCGCGGCCCTGCCCCCTCCTCCTGCCTGCGGGGCTCACGCTGCCTTTGTGTCTCCCCGCGGCAGGGCATGGCGTGCGTGGGCCGCACCAAGGAGTGCACCATCGTCCCGTCCAACCACTACGGCCCCATCCCCGGCATCCCCGTGGGCACCATGTGGCGCTTCCGAGTCCAGGTACCTGCCCGCTGCTCGTGCTCGTGCTCTTGTGTTGGGTGACGGCGTCCAGGGAGTTACGGGATCCCCGTGCCAAGGACAGCCGCCTCTGACTGGGCTGTGACAGTGCCGGTGCCGGCCCCAAGGGAGACCAGACTTTAGGGCCGGGGACACTGGGGCCAGGTGTTCTCTGGGGAGGGGCCGTCCTGGGCACTGCAGGTGCGCAGCAGCGTCCCTGTCTCCACCCACCCAATGCCAGGAGCAGCCCAGCCCCAGTTGTGACAACCTCAGATGTCCCCAGACACCGCCCTTGTCCCCCAGGGCGCAGGATCACCCCTGGGTGAGGCGCACTGAGCCGGATGAAGAAGGCAGTGCCCGTGGCGGAGGCCGCAGCAGGCAGGCGGGTGGGGGGATGGGCGCTCTGGCGGCGGCACCCCACTGAAGTCACTCTCGGCAGCCAGCCCAGGCGCGCCCGTCACTGGGCCGTCTCAGAGCGTTGCGCGTTGAGCGAGTCTGCCCCACGAGGGGCGGCTTTGATTGTTTTCTTTTATTTTTAGAGATATGTGGTCTTACTCTGTGGTCCAGGCTGGAGTGCAGTGGTGGGAACACGGCTCACTGCAGCCTCCACCTCCTAGGCTAAAGCGATCCTCCTGCCTCAGCCTCGGCAGTAGCTGGGACTACAGGCGCCACCACGCCTGGCTGATTTTTGTATTTTTTGTGAAGATGGGCTCTCGCTGTGTTGCCCGGATCTCCAGTGATCCTTCTGCCTCGGCCTCCCTAAGTGCTGGGATCACAGGCCAGCCAAGGGTGGCTTTTTATAAACTCGTTTTGAACTCAGTCCCGCCAGACACTGGTCACCCCCACATTCAAATTGCAGAAGTGGGGCATCCAAGGTCAGGAGTGGGGCTGCCCCAAGGGCACGTGGTCGGGTTGGCATTGGAGCCAGCTCTGTTCCTGGCGGGGCTGAGACTCTGCTGTCGTGGGCGGGCTGCCAGCGAGAGGCGACGTCGCAGGCCTGCGCGTGAAAAGCCGGGCCACTGGCTCCTCATGGCGGGAGGGGCGGGGCAGGGCGGGGCTTTTGTGCAGCCTGCCTTGCAGAAGGTGCCGTTTATTTCTGGGTGGGACCCGCAGGTCAGCGAGTCAGGCGTTCATCGGCCTCACGTGGCGGGCATCCACGGCCGCAGCAACGACGGGGCTTACTCCCTGGTCCTGGCGGGCGGCTACGAGGACGACGAGGTGCGTCTGGATGTGCGGGGTGGGGGAGGTTGCTTTATTATAAAATTGTGATAAAATACACATAACAAAATGTGCCATCCTGACCTTTTTTTTTTTGAGACAGAGTCTCACTTTGTTGCCCAGGCTAGAGTGAGTGCCGTGGCATCAGCCCAGCTCACAGCAACCTCACACTCCTGGGCTCGAGCAATCCTTCTGCCTCAGCCTCCTGAGTAGCTGGGACTACAGGCATGTGCCACCATGCCCGGCTGATTTATTCTATATATATTAGTTGGCCAATTAATTTCTTTCTATTTATAGTAGAGACGGGGTCTCGCTCTTGCTCAGGCTGGTTTTGAACTCCTGATCTTGAGCAATCCGCCCGCCTCGGCCTCCCAGAGTGCTAGGATTATAGGCGTGAGCCACCACGCCTGGCCCATCTTGACCATTTTTAAGTGCCCGGCTCAGTAGCGTTAACTCTATGCACGAGGTTGTGCAACCATCACCACCCTCTGTCTCCAGAACTTTCTCATCTTGCCAAACAGTGACCCTCTGTCCCCATGAAACACTCCCCAGCCCCTGGCACCCACCATTCTACTTCCTGTCTCTGTGGCTCTGACACCTCCAGGGACCTCCTGGGAGTGGAACCACACAGGACTTGTCCTTCTGTGTCTGGCTTATTTCATATAAAGCATGATGTCCTCAGGGTTCATCCACATTGTAGACTGTGTCGGAATTCCCTTCCTTTTCATGGCTGAATAATACTCCATTGTTTGGTAGACCCCGTTCCCTGTTCACCCACTCATCCATCTGTGGCTGTTGTGAATCTTGCTACTACAAACGTGCGTGTAGAAGCCTCAAGTCCCTGCTTTCAGTTCTTTGGGCCTATACGTCATGGTCCATTAGTGGACTTGCTGGATCATGTGGTCATTATATGTTAATTTCTCAAGGCCCTGCCACACTGGTTCCACAGCGCCTGCGCCGGTTTCACTGTCCCGGCCACAGCACATGAGGGTTCCCGTCTCCACGCCCTCGCCCACACCCGTTATTTTCCGTGTCTTTGGTGGTGGCCTGCCCCGCGGGGCTCTCGTCCCGCACAGTCTCCCTTCTCCTCCGCGGAGGGCTCACCCGGCCTTCTCATCTGTTTCAGGACAATGGGAATTCTTTCACATACACAGGTAGTGGTGGTCGAGATCTTTCCGGCAACAAGCGAACTGCAGGACAGTCTTGCGATCAGAAACTCACCAACACCAACAGGTTCGTGGGAAACCGTTTTCTCGTTTCTGCACTGACAGGCTGCTCTGAGCCATGGGTTCCGTGTTGGCACCCTGTCCACCACGTGGTGGTCCCGTGGATGTAGTGACATCCGGATCTTCCCTTCTGTGTGCCAAGGGTGTCATTCGGATGGGTTAAGGCAAACGTTTTCCCCGAGGCCAGTTAGAATAATTATTTGCAGCTTTGAGGGCCACGTGGTCTCTGTTACAGCTACTCAGCTATGTTGTAGCACAAAAGCAGCCATGGGCTGTGTGGACGTGAATGAGCACAGCTCTGCTCTGATAAAGCTTTATTTGCAAATCTAGGTGGTGGGCCGCAGTTTGCTTGAACTCTTAGTTGCAGGATGGGGGTGGACTTTCTCAGCATGAAAGGCGCCGTAAAGCCCAAAGGAAGAGCCTGAGAGATTTGATCTAAATATTATAAACATGTTGCAACAGCAAATCCTATAAATAAAACTAAAAGCCAGATGACTACTTGTGAGGAAAGTTTGCAACCTGGCACATGATGGTTATGTCTTTTTTTTTTTTTTTTTTTTTGAGACCAGAGTCTCACTCTGTTGCCCAGGCTAAGAGTGAGTGCGTGGCATCAGCCTAGCTCACAGCAACCTCAAAACTCTGGGCTCAAGTGATCCTTCTGCCTCAGCCTCCCGAGTAGCTGGGCCTACAGGCATGCGCCACCATGCCTGGCTGATTTTTTTTTTCTAATTATATAGTTGGCCATTAATTTCTTTCTATTTATAGTAGAGATGGGGGTCTTGCTCTTGCTCAGGCTGTCTTGAACTCCGACCTCGAGCAATCGCCCGCTCAGCCTCCCAGAGTGCTAGGATTACAGGCGTGAGCCACCGCGCCCGGCCTGTTATGTCTTTATATATAAAGAGCTGTTGCAAATCAACGAGAAAAGACTCTAATAGGAAAAGCAAAAGATGTGCACATGTTCACAGAAATACAAATGGCCAGTGACCATGATAAATTGTTTAGCTCTTGGAACCAAATGCAAATAGAGGCAATGTTGAGATACTACTTATTTCTCCCATAAGTTGGCCAAAAATTCTAAAATATTACAAAATGCCAGGAAATAGACTAGTTTTCCACTGGTGGTAGAAATACGAATTGAACCATCTTTCTGGAAAGCTTTTGCCTATATGTATGAAGAGCCTTCAGTGTTCTATTCACGACCCTGTAATTCCACTTTGAAAAATGTATTTGGGAGACATGAAAGGTAGTATTTATCATACCATCATTTAAAATGGCAAAAAAAAAAAATCAGTAAATAGTAACTAAATATCTGCAAAAAGGAAGGGTTGGTTATATATTTGTCTAGAAGAATACTTTAATTTCAGTCGGTGTTAAAAATCATGTTTTCAGAAAATATTTAAAGCTATGGAGAACTACTCATTTATCACATTACATATTGAAATCTGGGCACAGAATTCTATGAAATCCCAGTTTACAAAAGTGCTGTTTTGCCCACAGACGGCAGCTGCACAGTTTTCCCCCTCTCAAAGGCGATGAGAGAAATGGCATTGTAGTGTCAGCGGTGAGTCTGACCCTGGTCTGCTGGGCCCTAGCCCTTGGGGGTCTTGATGGGACAGACCGCTAGCAGGCTGTGTGTCCCTTTCTGAAAAGACACCTTGACCACGTGGCGTGTTAGTCTCTTGTGGCTGCAGCAATGAAACGGCACAAGCCGAGTGGTTTAAAACAAAAGACGTTTATCCTCATGGATCTGGTGGCCAGAGGCTGGGCGAGGGTGGCAGGGCCGAGTTTCCCCGAAGCCTCTGGGGAGGCTCCTTCCTGCCTCTTCCCGCTCCAGGTGGGAACCGGCAACTCTTGACGCTGCGTCCTGGTCTCCACCCTCGTGTGGCCTCCTGCCCTCTGTGCCTGTCCCCTGTAAGCACGCCCGCTACTACAGTGAAGGCTCCCAAGTCCTGTATAAACTCACTGGAATTATTTTTTTATTTTTATTGTTTTAGATTGAGACAGATTCTCAGTCTGTTGCCCGGGCTAGAGTGCCGTGGTGGCAGCCCAGCTCACAGGAACCTCAAACTCCTGGGCTCAAGCGATCCTCCTGCCTCAGCCTCCCGAGTAGCTGGGACTACAGGCATGAGCCACTATGCCCGGCTAATTTTTTCTATATATTTTTATATGTCAAGCTAATTTCTTTCTATTTTTAGTAGAGATGGGGTCTCACTCTTGCTCAGGCTGGAGAATTATATTTTAATTAGGGGCAGGGTCTTACTCTGTTGCTCAGGCTGGAGTGCAATGGCGTGATCCTAGCTCACTGCAGCTTCCAACTTGTGGGCTCAATTGATCCTCCTGTCTCAGCCTCCCATTTGCTGGGATCCTGTCATTGGTACTTGATTGCACAGACCTTATTTCTAAAGAAGGCCACGGTCAGATGTTGGTGTTGGGGCTCGAGCACATCTCTTTGGGGTGCGTGTTCCAGTGCGTAACACGAGGGGCCCACTCTCCCCGCAGGGCGCTGGCTCTCAACTGCTATGCCCCCATCGACGACAAGAAGGGGGCCGAGGCCAAGGACTGGCGGTCGGGGAAGCCCGTCAGGGTGGTGCGCAATGGCAGAGGCAGCAAGAACAGCAAGTATGCACCGGCCGTGGGCAACCGCTACGACGGCATCTACAAGGTGCGTGGAGTTCGAGGCCGGGCCCCCCGCCGGGGCTGCCTGTGACTGCAGGTGTGACTGCCGCCTCTCTGCTCCCGCAGGTCGTGAAGTACTGGCCTGAGAAGGGGAAGTCGGGCTTTCTGGTTTGGCGCTACCTGCTCCGGAGGGATGACAATGAGCCCGGGCCCTGGACGAAGGAGGGGAAGGACCGGATCAAGAAGCTGGGGCTGACCATGCAGGTGTGTGCGGCCGCTGCGGCCTCCTGGCTCCTCTCTTGTCCCGACAACGTCCCGGTCCCTGGTGCCACTCGCCTCGCCTCGCTGGCTGTCAGTATACGAGCTGCAGCCGGGGCATTGAGCGTGCAGACGACATTGGCATCTGCCTGTCGCCATGTTTAGTTTCAAGCCAGCCCTCGCGCCTCCTAGTGTGGATCAGCCTGGCGCGGGCCTCTCCCGTGTGTGTACGGCTCTTCTTTCCTCCGAGGAAAATCAGAAACCGGCAAAACCAGTCCCGTCCAGAGCGGCAAGATAAGGAGACACACGCCCCGCGCTCCTCCCTCCCCGTGTGGCAGCTCCTGGCGCTGTAATTAGGGAGCTTTCTGCGTGTTAAGGGACTGGCTTACAGCAGATGAATCCTTGCGGGACTATTTAAGGAATCCTAATTGCTGGCGAGAGGCTGATGGTGCCTGCCCGCTGGGGGTCACCGAGGCCTGTCTTGGAGCAGGTTTACACAGTGGGGGGCTCAGAGGCGATGATGTGGGGAGGCGGCAGCAAGGGGTGGGCCGTGTAGCAGCGTAGGGTGAAGCCGGGTTTTCGTTCCTGGCCCCCGTCTTCCTGGCAAGCTAAGGTTGCTGGAAGGTGACGATTTCCTGACTGCGGGTGCCGCAGAGATGGAGCGATTGTCACATGATGCCTGTGAGGGCAGAGGTGCCAGAGATCCCCTGGGATTAGGGTGTGGCCGTGGTTTGGAATCTGGCCACGCCCGTTCATTCAGGTGTCCTCACACGCTATGCTGCGACAGCTGAGTGGCGGGGACCCGAAGGGCTGGACACTTTTACAGCCTGGGCCCTTGGCACGGAAGTTTGCCTGCCCTCCTGAATCATAGACAACCCTGCATCTCAGCGGTTGGTCGTGGTGGGGACCAGCTTGCTCTCATGCTCGCCTGGACGGCAGGCGGAGGTTGGCCGGGTCCTCTGCAAGTAGTCGTGGGGATGACACAGGGTTAGCTCTTGCCCGAGGCTGTGCGGGCCATTGTGTGCTCGGGCTCAGGCTGTACCCTCATCCTGGGACAAGTTCCATGGCCCCCACTGGGTGCCTGAAACTGCAGGTCATATACATGATTTTTTCCAGACATACACACTTGTGACAAAGTTTAATTTCTTTGTTAGGCACAGTAAGAGATCAATAATTTCTCTCTGGTATATCCAAATTGTCAACATCACTTTGGGGAGCCTTTTTAAAAAAGTTTTGAAGAGTCAGGTTCTAGCTCTGTCTCCCAGGCTGGAGTGCAGTGACGTCATCACAGCTCACTGCAGCCTCCAACTCCTGGGCTCAAGCGATCCTCCTGCCTCAGCCTCCCCAGCAGCTGGGGCTTCAGCCACCACGCAGGCTCGAGATGACTGTTATGTAAAAGACTGCGTTATTTGAGCACGAGCTCTGTGATACCGCGGTGGCCGATCTGATAGGCGCTAAGTGACTCTGGCGGGCAGCCCAGACAACGTGTATGTGCCGGACAAAGGGATCACTCCAGTCTGGATGGGACATAGTGGGACAGCACAAGATTTTAACAGAGAACTCAGAACCGAGCGCAATTTTAAAAACATACGGATTGTTTCTGGAATTTTCGATTTTAATGTTTTTGGTGGGCTGTGGGTAAGGGGGTTGGGGTGGCCTGTTGTATGCGCTTTAGGGGCATCGGGGAGCAGGTGGGTTTGGATACCCAGCCCGGGGGAGGGCTCGGCAGCAACGCGTGCGGTGGACGGCGGGCCTGGGCGGCGGGTGGCCTGTCCCTCACGTGGGTCCTCTGCCCTGCAGTATCCGGAAGGCTACTTGGAAGCCCTGGCCAACAGGGGGAAGAACAGTAATAGGGAGGACGAGGATGACGACGAGGAGGAGGAGGCAGCTGCGCAGGCGCTGGCGAGGGGGCGGGAGCAGGCCAGCCTCAGGTCCGCCAGGCCCGGCAAGGGCAAGTGGAAGCGGAAGTCGCCAGGTGGGTGTCTTGGCAGCGGCCCTGTCCGCAGCCCCGTCTGCTGCCTGCGCGGCCACCGGCTCCGTTCACCTCACCCTCTGCTCTTTCCCAGCAGGTGGCCCGAGCAGCGCCCGGTCCCCGGGCCGGATGCCCAAGAAAACCAAGGTGGAGCCCTACACCCTCACGTCGCAGCAGAACAAGCTCATCATGGAGGACAAGAGCAACGCCCGGCTGTGGACCGAGGTCCTCAAGTCGCTCAAGGACGGGCCGGTGAGCACGGGCGGCGAGAGGGTCTCTGCATTGAGCATGTGCACGCTGCTGTGTGACCATCAGCACCCTCCGTTTTCCAGAACTTTCTCTGCCTCTCAAACCAAAACCCTGTCCCCACGAAACACTCAGTCGCCCACCCAGTCCCCAGCCCCTGGTACCCACCTTCCTACTTCTTTTCTCTGTGGATCCGATGACTCCAGGGACCTCCTGTGAGTGGAACCACGCAGGACTTGTGTCTGGCGTCTCTCCCTGAGCACCATGTCCTCAAGGTCTGTCCACGCTGTCAGAGTTCCCTTTCGTGGTTGCGTGACATTCCATTGTGTGGACAGACCACGTTGTCTGTGTTTGATCTTACGGACATTGAGGTCGTCGGCATCTTTCCGCCACCATGGCTTTGCCCCCGTGGTGTGCAAATTTCCGGTCTCTGCTTTCAATTTTCTTGGCTCTATTCCCAGAGGTGGAAAATGCTGGATCATGTGATGGTTCCGTGTTCAGGTTTTTGTGACCCCATCAACCCCAGGGGTGTCTTATGGTGATGCTCCTGTCCTTGGGGCAAGTGGCATTGATAGTCACTGCAAGTGAGTGGGTTCGTGCAGTCTTACCGCGCCCCTCCTGCAGTTCCAGGCGTTCCTGAGCAAGGTGGAGGAGGCGTTCCAGTGCATCTGCTGCCAGGAGCTCGTGTTCCGGCCCATCACCACCGTGTGCCACCACAACGTGTGCAAGGTGAGCGGAGCCAGGGCGGAAGGTTCTAGAAGGATGATCTGCCCTCCTGCTCCCACCTGAGGTTCTGTGCTTTGCTCCCTCTGTGACCTTTCCCAGCATCTTCTGTGTCACGTCCGCAGGTTGTCTGGGTGGCCCTACTCCCTGACCTCAGCCATAGCCCCCTTCCTGGGAGGTGCTCGCTGCTTCACCCATGGGTCTGGAACACTCTCCCCCCAGCACTTCACGTGGCCTCCGGTCCAGGGCAGGAGGGCATGGGCTGCAGTCCTGGCCTGGGGTCTAGACAGGGAAGTATGAGGTACAGGCCCCCTGTGGGCAGCAAGGAAGGCTTTCTGGACAAGGTGGCACCAGCCTGGCGCCTGGAGGTGTCTTGGGGGAGCATCCCAGGTGCTCGGATGGGACGTGCAGCAGCAGCTGGGACTGGGGAGGTGGGTCCGGGTGGTCCTTCATTCTGTTAATGGGTAAGGTTTCTCTCACTATGTTGCCCGGGCTGTTCTTAAACTTCTGGGTGCAAGTGATCTCCTGCCTTGGGTGGCTGGGACGACAGGCACCTCTCACCACTCCTGGCTCCTGGTGGCAGCCTTCCGGCTTAGGCCAGTGGTCGGTTTCAGAGGCCTGAGACGGGCGTCAGAGTCTGTCCTTGGCATTGTGGACATTTGGCCAGGTCGTTCTCTGGGGTTGGCAGCTGGCTGTCTCGCATCTCTCGCTGAGGACGATGTCTTCAAGGTCCTTCCACGCTGTGGCCTGTGTCAGAGCCTCGTCCCCTTTTTAAGGCTGAGTAATATTCCAGGCGTATGGGCAGACCACACTGTGTCTGTGTAGCCATCCACGGACTCGGGTCACTCCCGCCTTTGGCTGCAGTGACCAGTGCTGTTATCTGGAGCCTGATTTTGATGGCACGCCCAGCTGTGTTGGGCAGAAAGATGTGCCTTTTGTTTCTGGAATTAAGACCATAAACTTGGTCTGTTTTTTTTTTTTTTTTAGACAGTCTCACTCTGCTGCCCAGGCTAGAGTGCCGTGGCATTAGCCTAGCTCACAACAACCTTCTGGGCTCAAGCGATCCTCCTGCCTCAGCCTCCCCGGTAGCTGGGATGACAGGCATGCACCACTATGCCCGGCTAATTTTTTTATATATGTATATGTTTTTAGTTGTCCAGCAAATTTCTTTCGTCAGCCTAGCTCACAGCAACCTCAAACTCCTGGGCTCAAGAATCCTCCTGCTTCTGCCTCCTGAGTAGCTCCCAGCCTCTTTCTTTTTCTCATTGACATATATTTGAGCATCTTCCATGTGTCAGGCACAATGCTTGGTGTTAAGGGAGGTGACAAAGACATCATAGCCTTGGATCTCGGAGGCTGTTGTAGACCTTTACTAAGCGTGTTAGTAAACAGGACGAGGGCCAAGCGCACTGGCTCACTCCTGTAATCCCAGCACTCTGGGAGGCCGAGGCGGGAGGATCACTTGAGGTTAGGAGTTCGAGACCAGCCTGAGCAAAGCAAGACTTTGTCTCTACTAAAAATAGAAAAAGCCAGTCATGGTGGCGCATGCCTATAGTCCCAGCTACTCGAGAGGCTGAGGCAGGAGAATGGCTTGAGCCTTAGGAATTGGAGGCTGCAGCAAGTTATGATGACGCCACTGTACTCCAGCCCGGGCGACAGTGAGAGAGACTCTGTCTCAAAGAAATAAGGGAACTGGACTCTGAGGTGCTGTCTCAAAGGCAAACTGGGCAAGGTGATAGCGCTGGCCCAGGTGTGGCTGCCCAGGTGGCACTCCAGGAACGGCAGGGAAGGCCCCTTTGGGGAGGTGACTGGAGCTGAGGCTAAGTGCATCAGACTCTGTCCTTGGGGACAGCTGCCACCCAGCAGAGGTGGCCAAGAGCCAGCCGATGGTGTGGATGGCATCTCTTACCTGTGCTCTGTCTTGCAGGACTGCCTGGACAGGTCCTTCCGGGCGCAGGTGTTCAGCTGCCCGGCCTGCCGCTGCGACCTGGGCCGGAGCTACTCCATGCAGGTGAACCAGGTGCTGCAGGCCATCCTTGCCCAGCTCTTCCCCGGCTACGGCAGCGGCCGGTGATCCAAGCACTTCTCGGCAGGAAAGCGTGTCGGGGGTCTTCAGCCGACCCTTCTGCTGTTCTTAGTAGGCTTAACTTAAACGTATAGTTTCCCCCTTCCCTCAAAAGGTGTGTCTTCCTATTTTGTTTTAATCTATACATTTTCAGGAATTTATGTATTCTGGCTGAAAGTTGGACTTCTCAGTATTTAGTTTTTAAAAAGTTATAAAGCCTGCAGTCGGTCAGCAACAAAACGATGTATGGCATGAAGACGGCTTCTGTTCCTTCCTGATGCCGCGTTCTCAGGGGTTCCCGCCGCCGAGTCGCAAGAAGCCGTCCCCTGCCCAGAACAATCTCTTTTCAAGGTTCGTGGCTTTGGCTGCCAAGGTCAAAGCCAAGTGCGTCTCTCCTGACGGCATCTTATCGGCATCTTATCGTATAAAATCCTGCAAAGATGGTTCCCTGCGGTGGCCCTGGGGACAGTGCGACCCAGCCGTCTGTCAAGTTGTGGAAAAGAGGAAAACAAGTCTCTTCCTGCTCAGTTTGAACTCTTCCCTCGAAGCCATCCCTCCCCCACCAGGCTGCTGCGTGCCTGCGATCCGCGCGAAGAATCCTCTGCCCACGTGAGCAGGGAGTTGGGGCCCCAGAGAACCTACCTCAGCTGGACTCGGCTCCACGTGGGGCTGGCGTGCCGGGCGCTGGCCCTCGCGGGAGGCCACGGAAGCTCGCGCACAGCCACGTTCAAGTGCCTTCGGTTCGTTCGCTCTTTCTAAAGACGAGGCTCTTCTGTTTTTAGCACTGAATTTACTGAAAAAATGCCAACCAGATTCTAAAAGCTGTGATCATCCAGTTCTTCCTGACACTGGGTGGGTGCTTTGGGGATGGTTTGAGTTTATAGATCCTTAAAATTCAATTTTTTTTTTTAACTTGACAATTCAGAAATACAAGAGGGAATTTTTTTTTTTTTAAATGAATACTTTTTCTAAATGAAATTTTTTTGTAGTTACTGTATATGAACCAAGAAAGATATAACTTAGGGTTTTGGTTGTCTTTTGTTTTTGTATTTTTTTGGCATGGTTTGTTAATTTTTCTAACTTTACCAAAGTTTGCAGCTCATACCTCAACAGAACAGGGATATTTTAAATCGCATAACTACAGACCAACTGAAGCAATATTTTTACAAGGTGTTTTTTTTTTTTCTCCTTATTATTAGATTGTTAATGTGTTAGGGGAAGAAGCAGCAAAATTCTCTGTAGGCTCTTTCTAAAGTCCAATATTGGTCCAGATTTTAGATTCTCAGAATAAATGTTTTTCACAGATATATTTGATTGTGTGTTCCTGTTTGCAAACAGCTTTGGAGCTCTCTGGGCAATAATGTACCTGTTTTCACAAAATGGGGGACAAATTTTCACAAAATGGGGGACAAATGCTAGGCAGGTAACATCACCCCCACTTTATAGATGGGAAAACTAAGGCCCACAGGATCATAGTGATGTGCAGAGGTTATAACTGCAGCTCGGGAGGTGTTGGATTGTTTCTTTTGTAGTCTTGAGCAAGGGTCAGCAAAGGGTGTGGGGCAAAGCCAGGCCACTTCCTGTTTTTAATAAAGTTTTATTGACACAGACACCCGACCAGCAGAACTGAGTAGATAAAGGAGAAACCATCTGGTCCACAAAGCTGGAGATACTTACTGTCTGGCCCTTTATAGGCAAGGCTTTCTAGCCCCTGCTCCTATAGCAGTCCAGTAGAACATTCTGCAATCATGTGGGCAGTGACTACAGCATTGGGCTGCACAGTCAGTTTATACAGAATGGGGTGTGTGACGTCTAGAGCTAAACCCATCAGCTCTTAGGAAGAATAACTCCTGGGTTTCCTCGGTGGAACCCAGTAAAAAGAAAGCCACAGACATTTGACCTGTTCATACTGCATGAGTAAGAAACTTGCACTCAGGACCATTCTGTTGTCCCCTAAAAATTCTGGCTGCCTTTTTCCTTTAATTCCAGGGTAGGACAGATAATAGCATTGCAGAGGGGTAGACAGACCAGCACGTATCATGCCATCATTCCTTCTAGCATGGAACCTGGGTCACTTTCTCACCAGGATGGGCAGGTACTGCCCCCGTGGACAGTTGAGGAACCAGGTGGTGAGGGGCTCCCACTAGGAGACCAGCTCTGCCTTGCATGGGTGTCACCAGCCAGAGTCATCAACTAAGAAGCCACTTAGCCCCAGAGGGGTGGCCTCTGAATGTGGACCTGTTGCTGTTTGTGCACACCTGGGCTTCAAGAGGTGATCACCAGAAAGGCTATTTTGGGCAGAGGTCAGAAGCCAGAGGTGAGGTAAGGTGACAAAATCTGTGAGTGTAACGGTGTTGAATCCCGAAGATGGGGTTATTCGTGTCAACCTGCTGCCGCCACGTTTTATTGATGGTTAAGTAACCACAGAGGCAGATCTGATTTAACTTTAAACAGTTTTATATCTTTGGGTCCAGATGATGTCCTGTGTCCCTGAAAACCTTATGCTAAGTGAAACAAGTCACAGAAGATCCTGTATGTTTCTATTAATGCATAATACCCAACAGACATCTGGAGATAGGAGTTACATGAGTGACCATCAGGGGCAGGGCAAGCAGGGGGTGATGGATAAAGGGACCGGGGGTTTCTTTTCATTTTTTCTTCTGTTTGGTTTTTTTTGGAGACAGGGTCTTCCTCTATTGCCCAGGCTGGAGTGCAATGGCACGATCTCAGCTTACTGCAGCCTCCAACTCCTGGGCTCAAGTGATCCTCCTGCCTCAGCCTCCGGAGTAGCTGGGACTACAGGAACAAACCACCATGCCTGGCTAATTTTTTTTCTATTTTTAATAGAAACGGGGTCTTCCTCCTGCTCAGTCTGGTCTTGAATTCCTGGCCTCAAGTAATCCTCCTGCCTGGTCCTCCCAGAATGCTGGGATGACAGGCATGAGCTACCACACCCGGTCAACCCTCTGATAGTTTTGACCCATATCCATTTTGCAGTTGAGGCACAGAATGGTTAAGTGGCTTACCTGGGGATATGGCAAATCCAGGGTGTGTGTGTGTGTATTTATCTTCATATATTTGTTTCACATATAAACTTGACAAAATTATTACAGCACTGTACACACTCTTGCGCCTGGTTTTCTTTTCCATTCATTTCCATTCCTTTACCAAGTAGCCACTTTGTCTAGCACCTTAGTAAACAAACAGATGTGAGCCCTGATTTTGGTGTACGCACAACTTGTGTGTATGTGTGAAAATGTGAAACAGCACACGTGTATCCAGGAAAATATGCTTGCAGTGAAATGGAACGTTAGAACAATTCCCCACGGTTTTTATTTATTTTTAGAGCTGGGGTCTCTGTGTTGTCCAGGCTGGAGTATAGTGGCCATTCATAGGAGGCATCGTAGATCACTGCAGCCTGGAACTCCTGGGCTCACGTGATCCTTCTGTCTTGGATTCCAGAGTAGCTGGGACTAGAGGTGCACACCAAGCCTGGCTATTTTTAAAAAGTTTTTGAAGGGATGAGGTCTCGTTGTGAAGGCTGGTTTTGAACTGGCTGGCCTCAAGCGATGCTCCCTTCTCTGCCCCCCAAAGTTCTGGGATAATAGGCATCAGCCCATGATTGCACTTTTGACAATGTATTACCATTATCAAATCCCATTTCTGTCTTTCCCACAGGTTAAGGAACTCCTTGAGGGAAGTGACTATTTCCTGTTTTTAAAGTTATTTAACTCCAGAGGAATATATGAATATGGTCCCATAAGAATTCCAAACACCCAAAAACAGATTCAATTCCCCTTGGACTCTTATTACCAACGTTCATTTTCCCTCTTCTCCCCAAAGATGAAAAGAGCTTTGTCACTTTGGGGGTGGCTTTTGGGCATTGACTCACACATGTAATCTTAGAAACCCCATGACATTGGTTGCTGCGTGTTTCCGTAACGTATGTTACTGCATGTATAATTCTGGGCTCTTCTGCCACTTGCTGAACAACTGGTGTAGGAGCTATTCCATGACAGCACATATAGATCTACCGTGTTTTCAATTACTACATAGTGATTATTCCAGAGTACTGGGAGCCACAAATTATTTAATCCAATGGGCTACTGATCGACATTTAGAACAAAACATCAGAAACAGTTGCAGAGGGTGCCTGCTGTGGGCATTCTCGGACAGTGTAAGCACCACACCTTTTCTCAGGGTTCAAAACCTCCAGGAAGACCTGCTTGTTGGATTATAAAGTAGATGCGTTAACAATGCCATTAGAAAAGGTCAAATTGCCAGATTTACACTCCTGCCAGCCCTATGGGAAGGTGCCCCCGGCCCTGACGGGTCCTGACACAGCTAATGGCAAACACTAAAGGTGTCACTCTAAATGTGAAGCCACAGGGTCAAACCCCATACTCATCCCGAAGAAATATTGCGACATTCCCAAGACAGGCTGTGTGGACGCTACCATCATATCCATTTCATACGGGAAACTGTGGCTTGGCGCGTTTCCCTGCTGGAGGCCATCCACAGTGAGGCGTGGGGTAGAGGTGAGCTTTGAACCCAGGTCAGGAAGTGCCGAACTCGTCTGTTTCCATATGTTTTAGGGATCTCGGGGAGGGCACCGTAACTTGCCTCTGCAAAGGTTTATTGATTGTGATGGAAACGGACCAGCGTGGAGTGCGGGAGCGCTTGTCGCCTCTTCCTACATGTTTCTTGTTCTCAGGTCTCCTCCTTTGCCAAATGGATTGTGTTGGGAGCACACGGTTCTTTTGCTGAGGACTTTGCAAATTAGAGAACCCTGCGCCCAAGTCCCGGCCACGGGTCTCGAACCTTCAGCCCTCGGGTCCACGGCCGGGTGCTGATGTTGTGCCTGGTTTCACGTACTCACTCGCCGCCTGATAACCAGGGCGGGGCCCGGAGCGTGCGGGCAGTGATTGGCACCCACTCCAGCCAGTCTGCGCCTCGGGCTGAGGCCTCAAGCCAATATCCACTTCCCACTGTGCGGTCGTTGGGCGGTCTCTGAGGCGCCCTTGTCGATCGGAGGCCCAGCCGCCGTTTGGTTGGTCGTGGCACCCTTGGCTGGCGTTCGCCTTCACCAATGAGAGCGGAGCCGGTCAGCGGGCACGTGGGTGGGCGTCGGCGTGTCCCTGAGGGTTGGCCAATGAGGACGCGAGGCCGGCGTTTGCGCCCGCCCAATCGCGACGCGCGGTGGGCTGGCCGTGCGGTGTTGATGGGCCCTGCGGAGGGGAGGGGCGGAGCTGTCAGCGGCGGCCAATGGGTACGCGGGCGTGGGCTCTGCGGCCAATGGCAGCCGGGGCGGAGCTGGCGCGCGGCCTCATAAGCCCCCCCCGGAGCGCTCGCGGAGGGCTCGGCCGCCAGCGACCGAGCGGGGCCCGGCCCGAGCGGGGCCTGGGGGTGCGACGCCGAGGGCGGGGGAGCGCGCGCCACTGCTCCCGGACCGGGCCGCGCGCGCCGCCTCAGGTGAGCCCGCGGGGAGGCCGCCCGGCCGCCGGGCCGCGTCGGAGCGTGGACCCCGCCGCCGCCGCCATGGCCGCCCCCGCGCCGCGGCTCAGGGCTGCGGGCGCGCCCGGGACTCGAGGCCCAGGCCTCGGGCGCGGCCTGCTCGGGCCCGGCCGCCGCGCTTTGTCCGGGCCAGAGAGGCGGTTGGGGGCGTTAACCGCCCAGCCCGGGGGCGCCCGCGGGCTTGCGGGCTGGGGCGGCGGGGCCGGACAAAGGCGGGGCGCGCCCAGGGGCGGGGGCGCCCCTTCCCGGGCCGGGGGCGCGCGGGGGGCTGGGCCCAGACGGCCCCCGGCCGGCCCCGCACAAAAGACGGCTGCGTGGGTGGCCCGGGGCCCTGCTCTTTTATCATTCAAAGCAATCCTCACAATAATTTAAGGAAAAAGAAAAAAAAAGAAAGCTGGCAGGAAAGAAAAAAGGAAAAAAAAAAAAAAAAAAAAGACCCCAGGCCCTGGGTAACACCTGCGTTTCTGGCCCTTTGGGCACCGGAGGGGCTGAAGGGAAGCCCCCCGGCGTGGACACCCAGGGATGCCCCCCGAAATCCCCATCGTGGCTCCTAGCCCCCTCCCCGGTCAACCGGCTGTGCCATCGTGGCTTCCAAACTTGCCCCCCTCTCTTGTCCCTGAGCCCCCCTAATAAGCATGCAATCTGGGTTAAGAGAAAATTATCTGCTTGCTATGCAGCTTCGAGACGCGCCCCCCGCCCCCCACCTTTCAGCCAGATCGCCATCTCCAAGAAGTCCCTCTCTGTAGAAACGGATTGAGGAGTTGCTCCGCGGGCCACCCCTTTTGCTGTCCCC